CCCTCCTGCTGCAGATGCCCCTCCTTCGAGGTTTCCAGAAAAGCAGGTCACTCACTTTCCCTTTCTATAGTACACAAACGTGTGTGCGTGCGTGCGTGTGTGTGTGTGTGTGTGTGTGTGTGTGTGTTGTAAAGAAGAGACAAGAGATGTTCCCTTGTTCAGTGGCTCCCACACCAGACAGAAACCGAAACATTGTTGAAAGCGCTGATTCCTAGATCCCACCCAGTCTGGAAATAAAGTTTCCCCAAGTCTGCTCTCCGTTGATTCTGGGTGTCCTCGGAGCAGTGGGTCCCTAACCAGGCTCCTGGGCTGGAGGGACAGCTCTTGTCCACCAAACTCTCCCTGACCCTGGATGAAAACGTCACTCTAGGAAATGACTCCCCCGGGGCCTCGCAGACCCCAGAACGGCCTCACGATGGCGCCAGGCATGTAAAGGGGACGACTTGTTCTGAGGGTGCCCTTCACCTGTCTCTCCTGTAACAGCTCCCTTCTCATCCAGCTGCCTCACTGCCCCTGCGCCCCATCTGCCCACGGGGCTCTGGAGACACTTAGGAAGGAAGAGCAGCGAACTGGGTCTGTGTCTGTCAGTTCAGGGAGCTCCCGGGCCTGTATGGAGGGAAGTGGGAAAGAAACAGGGGAGGGTGGCTGAGGTTTTGTGTCCCATAAACCTTGTCTGGCTTGAGGCCACCATGGGCACAGGCTCAGAGATGTGGAAAAAGCAGAGGGCTGAGGAAGGTGGTGACTGCAAGGCTGACTGACCCCTGTTCCCCACGAGGACAGACAGAAAAGGACACTGAGAAATCCACCCAGGGAGAGATGCAGAGCACCGATCCTTTTTCCTGCTTTTACCTTGTACTGTTTGGGAGCTGTTTCTTCTCAACTAGATTTTGAGTTTCTTGAAACGGGAACCTTGCCTTATTTAGAGTGTTATTTCCATACTGGGCACACAGTGGTGCTCAGTAAATGGGGAATGACTGACTGATGGACATGTGTGTGTCTCATGTCTGGGTCTACCTCTGTGCGTCCCTAGGAGTCTCTCTGTGTCCATCTGGGCCCCCCTCTGTGACCCCAGGGCCCCGCTCTGTGCCATGTCTGCTTCCACGCCTGTGAGCCTCTGCGTGTGTCTCCTTCTGTATGTAAGTCCACGTGCTGGCGGTCAGTTTCTGCATCTTAACTCCACCTTAACTCCACCTTAACTCCACCTTAACTCCACCTTAACTCCACCTTAACTCCACCTTAACTCCATCTTAACTCCACCTTAACTCCACCTTAACTCCACCTTAACTCCACCTTAACTCCATCTTAACTCCACCTTAACTCCACCTTAACTCCACCTTTTCTGTTCTTCTGCTAGTTGTCTCCTCCACAGGAAACCAGGTCTAGAGGCTTCAGCCTCGCAAGGTAGCACCTTACACGGACCCTCCCAGCAGGGAAATGTCAGACTTGTGTTTCACTTCCCAGCATCACCTGCCATGCTTGCTGACGTATGTGTCGTTTACGGGCTCATACCCCAGCAGGCACTTTGTGGCCCGACTCTGATGATGAGCTGGGGGTGGCAGCCGTGCTGGGGACAGGGTTCTTTCTGTGGTCTCTCGCTGGCAGTGGGGCCGGAAGGCTGGTGTGAGGACTACCCTTGTGGTCTCAAGTCTCCCCCAGCTTTATAAATCAGGGGGCTGAAAGGGTTAAACAGGAGAACCTAAGGGCACAGGGGTCTGGGAACTTGCCTGCTAAAGAGGAGAGTCTGTTAATGAGGCCACTTTCCAGGAAGGCCAGCAGGCCAGGGCCTGTCTACACTGAAGCAGATGCTAACGAGCGGGCTTGGCTGCGAGGAACGGGGCCGAACGAGGTAAATGAGTGTAGGACCCAGAGAGAGGGCCTAATGGCTCTGGTGGCATTTCAAAGCCAGAGCTCCGTGGGGCCGTGACCAGGGGCCCCGGTGATGAGGGGATGCATGGTCAGCACAGGGCCGAGAAGGGGCCTCTCCCAACTGCCGAGGGAGCCGGTCAAACTGCTCCCTCTTGCTAGCCCTGCTGCATGAGGGTTAGCGACTTCGGGGCGCTCCAGGGCAGGCCCTCCAGGGAGCAGGCCGGTGCGGTAATGAGTGGCCAGGACTTGGCGCTGAGGCTGTGCAGAGGCCTGAGTTCTCTGCGCTGCTCCAATTGGCACTCAGCTCCTCCGGCAGCAGGGCTCTCCAAGTGGCCTACTGGGGCTGAGCCATTTGCAAGAGCCCCCTATGATGCTGATGGAAGCGGCCATCGTGTTGCCTCTCAGGGTGCAGGAGGACTTTCTAAGACCCGCAAGGGCTCTGTATCCGGGGGACGCAGGAAGTCAGGGCGCCCCAGCCCGCTCAGACGCACAGGTGTGAAACGGCGTATCTCACGCGTGCACCGCCCGGCCCAGGCACCAGAGGGCAGCCAGGTGCCCCGGGTGAAGCACCAAAGGAGCTTGCTCTCCACAGAACAAAGCCCTTCGCAAGTCTGAGATTTTTCGTTTCATTTTTCCCGGCCAAATTTAAAGAGGACTTAATCAAGTGGCCAGTTGACAGATCATTTTTGATGATAAATCACCATGCAATTTTGGGCACGCATCTCAGAAGGAATTCAGAGAATTGGCTGGCATCTCCTTATTTGTGTGAAAGGCTTCTCAGCATGTAGAGTATAAAAATGGAAAAAGAAAATGATGCTGAATCCTGATTCATCCATAGATTCACAAATAATTAATTTCTTATCTGTTTCACTAAGATGTGTTTTCAGTATTTTCCTTTTTAGGTTTAACAATCACTTATAAAATTTTTAGTATCTATGTTGTTTTAATCAACTGTACATTATATTTTACATCAAAAATTAGTTGTAATAACTCAATCCAGAAGACTTTCTAAAAAACTCTTAGAATCTTTGGTCACAGGAAATTATTTCAATTCCGATTTCTAAATATATATTTGTGGCAGAGGAGTATGATAAGGTGAGCGATAAAAAACTTGCAACGGTAAAAAATGCTGCATTAGCAAAAACAATTCTGTAGGGGGAATGGAGTGAAAACATAGGTTCAAAGAGAAAAGGAACAACTTAAAATTTCCAGCTGTTAAAGAAGAGCAGGTTGTGGGTTTTCTTTCTTTTTTTTTGTTTTTAAATAGATGAGAGTATTTAATCACGGCTGTGTTTGGATTTCATAAGATGTACTTTAAAGGGTTAGGGCAGTTTTATTTTAAAATGTAAATATTTACCAAATGCCAGAAATCACATCCCTCACAAGTTTTAAAACTTATGTGAAAAATATTAGATGTCAACTTAAAAATGTGCAAGATGGGACACATAATTTTTAAAAAATGGGGGAGGGGGCATACCTAGAGCAAAAGCCCTTTTGAACCCCAGCCCGATGGCTCCTCTGGCCCCTTGACTCCCACCTTCTCCTGGAGGGAAGGGCGGATGGAGGCCAGGATGGAGATGGCCCTGGTTGTGGCTCACGGAGACTGCAGTGGGCGGGGAGGGGAGCTGTTCTACACTTCCCTCCAGATTCCAGCACAGGAACAGGCCATGGCCTGCTTGGGGAGCTGGGCCTCTCCTTCACGCTGAATTAAACTGCCTTCAGCTGGGGAGGAGGGGCAGCTATTGGCCTGGGCAAACGCTAAGGGACAGACCTGCAGGCACAGGTGGAGAGGGAGAACCGGCCCCAGGCCAGGGCGAGAGTCTCTGCAAATGACGAAGGACCCAGACCACCGCCCTTGGCCCACAGCACGCCTTCAAACCTGAGGGGAGGCCGCGTTTCCACAGAGGCACAGTTTATTTCACAGACGGTGGAGATGTTGTTTCTGAAGGGGAGGCCGAAGCCCGGTCTCAGGTGTGGGCCGAGGGATTAGTTCCAGTCACCAAAGACGTACTTTGGTTTCTGCTATTTCTACCCTACTCCCCCTCCCAGCCTGCCGTCCCCCAGGCGTCTCCTCCCCGTTTCCTCCTACACCGTGTATCTGGTTGGTCTAAGCGTGTACGGCTGCCCTGGCAACGTCTTCCTCCCCACCTGCGCCTCCCCAAGGCCCTGAATCGGTGGACTAGGCTGAGAAGAGGGCTCTCAGAAAAGGAGGCAGCATCCTTCCAAGGGTCCGAGGGGCAGGAGGATTGGGTGTAGGTGAGGCTTCTCTAAGTGGGAGGCCCAGGGACGAAGCCAGTGGAACGAATCTCTTACTCCAGCTGCTGTGCCTCCCTCCAACTGCAGAGGGCGCCACAGAACTTAGAGGCAGAAGGCAGGGGGTGGGACCAACCATCACCCCGCCGCTGGTGGGAAGACCCTTGCCATGAGTGGGGCAAAGGAGCCCCAGGTCTGTCATGAGCTAGCTGTGTGACTTGGGCAGGCCCTCCCTGGCTCTGGGCCTCAGTTTCCTCATCTGTGAACAGGGCGATAGTGAGGATCCAGCCAGAGAGGCTGGTGTGGGCAATGCCTGAAGCCCTGTGACCCGCTGTCCTCCGGGGGTTCCCGTCACTTCCGGCTCAGCTCCCCCTCGCACTGAGACTTGGGGTCCAGCCGGCCCTGGTTCCCGAGAGCCCCTCGTGCTGCTGCATAGCCTCCCTCCTGCCGGCCTGGAGAGCTGGTCTCCCCCCTCCCTCTGCCCCCATCAGAGCCTGCGCAGCCGGGAGAACCCAGAGAAAGGTGCTGGAGGAGGATGGAGAGGCTGTCCCGATGGTGGAGTGATGGGCAAGGTGAGGGTGCTGAGGGTCATACAGCGGCCGTCTGCTTGATGCTGTGGAAGCTGATCCGCGTGGGTGACGTGGGGATGGACACGGCGCGGGCCCCGGGGACTCGGAGGGAGTGATGGTCCTGCCAGCGGTGCCACTTCCTCCTCGCAGCCGAGCGCACCTGCGGGGGAGGAGGCGGCTCAACGGGGCCTGTGGAGGCCAATGCTGGGTTCCGGCCAGTCCTCCCCCCTGCTCCCTGCCCCCTTGCAGGGCCACCAAGGGAGGCTGGGGCGGCCCCCCTGACTGCCACCCTCACATCCAGAGACCGGCTGTTTCCAAAAGCAGGGTCCTTCTCACCTCCTCTGCAGCCCTGGCCTCCTCTACCTCCTGAAAGACCTGCATTGCTTACCACAGCACGCAGCTGAGATGGAGAGCTGGTCATTTCGAGACCTGACCGTCACTGGTGCTGTTCTATTCTCATTTGTATTGCAATGAAAGAAGTTTTTTCTGCAAACCGGATCACGGCCCCCACATGCTAGCCTGGCACAGGGCTGAACACAGTAACTGTTCCGTAAGCATTCATTGTTTGCTTGCTTTAGTGGCTCCTTCGCTCCCTGCCCTCCAGCACATGCCGGTCTCCACTGCTGGACTTTCCTATCTGGGGTCTGCTTTAATTGACAGAGACCCAGGCATGCAGACCCCACCATTGCCCTGTGCACGGGCAGGTGAAGAGGCCTCAGGATGGCACTGGCACTCCTCTGGGGTGCCTGGAAGCTCTCGGGCCCTGGGAGGGTGTCTGCTTTTTGCCCCAGCACCCACTGTGTGTCCTCACCCAACACAGGCCTGAGTGAACATCTCCCCCAAGTCCGCCGTGCTGGGATTCTGGGCCTTGTAAGCTAACCAAGCTTCACCAGAGCCTGGCTCCCTGGAGCCCACCAAAAGGCGTGTGGCCTTCTCTGCGGCGGTAGGGGACAGGAAAGGACGCGCTGGTGTCTTTCTGCTCCCTGGGTCCATAAAGGCCTGGATGCACGGCTCACACCTGACTTGCTCCTGGAAAGCGCTCTCCTGTCATCACCTGCGTTCTGGCTGCCTTCTTCCTGTGGCCTGGGCTCCTGCCCACCCAGCTCTCCGAGTGCAATGAGAGAGTCGGTATATCGTTTCTGACCTGCAGAGTCAACCTTCTAAACTGGTTGGAGTCCCTCAGGCAGGATTCCTGTCTCCCCAAAGCTGGGTGGTTTCTCCAGACTTCCCCTCCCTTCTCCAGAGCAGAGCTGAGCAGAGCCAGGGATGCCCAAAGGGCTGGGGGGCTCCCCTCGAACTTCCCTGGAGTGGGGTCTGAGGACAGGCCTCCCGGGCCTGGTGTCATACCTCTCCATTGAAGAAGCAATAGAAGACGGACACAAAGAAACCCTGGGTAGAAAGAGGGAGACGTCAGTGACCTGCTCAGGGAGCCCCTCTGCCTGGGGGGTCGGGGGGTGGAGGGGGACAGGATGACTGGGGGAGCACTCTGACTCAGGACCCCGGAGGCTCAGAGCTGGGTAGGCACCCCCATCGTGGAGCAGCTGTACCGGGGTCCACCGCGAGCGACAGGCTGCCATGAGTCCTCAGAGCAGGGGCTGGGCTGGCAGGAGGTGCAGGCGAGGGTGACCCTGACCCAGTCGGGATGGGCCCACCTGGGCCCTGGGGTGGGAGTGACGGGGCCAGGGCCTGGGTTCAGGGTGTGCACGCGCTCGTATTTCAGTGCATACGAACTAAACCAAGCCAGCGAGGGCACGGGTGCCTGAGCACGCCAGGTCAGGGGCGCTCACTGTGGCCGCATCCCGCTACGTGCCCCACCTGGAACGACTGCAGGAAGGAGTTGAAATAGATGAACACGATCTGTGACAGCTCGTCCTCCCCAGGGCTGACAAAGAAGAGCATGTAGGTGACGCCCAGAAGGGGCAAGAGAACCAGGGTGGCCTTCACCGCCTTCCTGGGGAGGGGGGAAGGGTGACAAGACCCACCTGAGCCCCTGAGGCTCGTGGGGCCTCACTCGCTGGCATCTCTTCCGGGAGCCTGAGCGAGGGCCCTGGGTGAGGACTCAGAGGGCCCTGCCCAGAGGCAGGGGAATGGCCCAGATGGCCTCCTCATTCCTCCCCTGCTGAGGGTCAAGGCACCCATCACTCACCTGTACTGGATCGTCTCCGATGTGGTGGATGCTCGTAACTTTGTCATTAGGATCCTGACGATGTTGAACAGAAATATAAAATTGATCTGGAGGGACAGGGGCCAGAGAGGGAAAAAGGAAGGACCACGAGGTGGGGATGAGAGGAGAGGCAACCACCTCCCCTGTATCCCACTGAGAACCCACGTCCCACCCCACTCACCCCAGCACCTGCCTGGGGTCCCAAGGCCTCTGCTCCTCCCTCACTGGGGCAGGCAGGTACCCCACTTGCCGGGTCCCCTGTCACCTGAGGGCTCCAGAGCCTGCTTCTCCACACCCTGACCCGAGGGAGGAAAAGCAGCCTTGGAGGCAGTGCACAAGGGCGCAAAGGTCACTCCTTCCTGAGGCACCCCAAGCTCTGCCCGGCCCGCCCCCGCTGCTGCAGGGCCCCCACTTGTCAACTGAGGGTCCCCCTGAGGCCCTCTGGACAGAGGACAGCCCTGCCCTGGTGGAGCAGACCCGGCCAGATGGAGTGATTAATAACTCGGTTGCTGGGAGGAGTGATTAATCTCTCACCATTCGTCCCCTGCACCCAGGAAAACTCTAGATTCTTCGCAGACACGCCTGAGGCAATGGAGATGAACAGGCTGCTGGGCTGACTCCAGCAGTTGGCTCCTGGAAGGGCCTCATTTATCTTCATTCTGAGCCCTCTCTCAGCATCGGAGCCTGCCGCTCCCAGCCTCTCCCCGGGACCTGCCCGTGTGGCCTCCCGGGGCAGCCCTGTGCTGCATGTGGTCTCTGTGGGTGTGCAAGTGTCCTGTTAACCCGTGTCGGCTTGTCTGTGTGCCGCCTTCTCAATGCTCCCCGTGGGTCTGTGCTCTGTGTTTGTGTGTTTGCCTTGGTGTGTTCCTGTGTGAGTGTGGACCTGGGGACATGGACACACCTGTGTCTCTCTTCATCCATCTCCAAGTGCAAGTAGACAGGAAAGTGAGTGTTGTATGCCTAACACCCTGGGGATCTCTCACAGGAAAGTACCCACGGGTCAGAAGGAGATACATATTAGCCCAGGGGTGTCTGCTGGCTCACGTGTGTGCACATGTCTGAGTATGTGCGTGTGTTTATGCACACACACACACACACCCCTCCCAAGTCCTGGTCCTGAGACTCCGTCATTTCTGGAGCCTCCTAAGTTCTGAGGCTTGGGGACACAGGCAGACATCACGGGACACACATCCCTGTGGCCTCTGGATCACCCCTAAGCTTGAGGATACTCTGGGGCCCTGGGGGGCTCCCTCCTCAGCCACGGCCTGCTGTTCCAGTGACCACAGTAGCACAGCCTGGTGAACCCAGGGTGAGGGGTGGTGGAAGCGTTCAGCCAGGGCTGCCCATGGCCTACTGCACCTTGCTTCCTCTTAAGGCCTATCTAATTTCCAGCTCCTGGGTTTCTGGTCTATTCCCTTGGATCATGAGGTCACTTTAACACATAGGCCGATCCTAATTTTCTCATACAAGTGATACAAAATACTTGACCTTTTCCGATTCTTCATGACTTCTGTGAGAATAGAGGTTTTTGGAGTCAAAATGTATTCTCATTTCTTCCACATTTCCCTGCATTAAACCTTATTCACTAATCGTCCATAAACCCACTAACCAATTCACTCAGTTATCCACCCACTCTTATCCATCTATCCATCCATCCATTAATCCATCCAAATATTACTCAACCATCCATTCATTATTTTATCTATCCACCCACCCACCCACTTATTTAATGTGTAACATCCACCCATCTAAATATCTACTCAACATTCATCAGTTTATCTACCCACACACCCACCCACCCACTCACCCACTCACCCACTCATTCAACAGGTAACGTACATACATCCACTAACCACCCAACTACCCATCCATCTAGTCAATAAGCAATTGCTGAGCACCTCTGGGCCACAGGGCGCTGTTCCATGTGCTGAGGCAAGAGCAGGGACAGGGGCTGGTGCGGAGGGTCTGGGAGACAAGGCCTTATCCCCTCTGCTCACCCTAGGCAGGAGCTGGTGATGCTGCCTACACCCCACCTCAGGCTGGTCTGTGCAGCC